GGTGTTAGCTCTTCTCTAAATGTTTGATAGAATTTGCCTGTGAAGCCATCTGGTCCTGGGGTTCTGTTTGTTGGAAGATTTTTAATCACAGTTTAAATTTCAGTGCTTGTGATTGGTCTGTTTATATTTTCTATTTCTTCCTGGTTCAGTCTCGGAAGGTTGTGCTTTTCTAAGAGTTTGTTCATTTCTTCCAGGTTGTCCATTTTATTGGCATATAGTTGCTTATAGTAATCTCCAATGATCTTTTGTATTTCTGCAGTGTCAGTTGTTACTTCTCCTTTTTCATTTCTAACTGTTGATTTGAGTCTTCTTCCTTTTTTTCTTGATGAGTCTGGCTAATGGTTTATCAATTTTGTTTATCTTCCCAGAGAACCAGCTTTTAGCTTTGTTGATCCTTGCTCTTGTTTCCTTCATTTCCTTTTATTTCTGATCTGATCTTTATGATTTCTTTCCTTCTGCCAACTTTGGGGTGTTTTTTGCTCTTCTCTCTCTAACTGCTTTAGGTGTAAGTTTAGGTTGTTTATTTGAGATGTTTCTTGTTTCTTGAGGTAGGATTGTATTGCTATAAACTTCCCTCTTAGAACTGCTTTTGCTGCATCCCATAGGTTTTGGGTCATCATGTTTTCATTGTCATTTGTTTCTAGGTATTTTTTGATTTCCTATTTGATTTCTTCAGTGATTTCTTGGTTATTTAGTAGTGTATTGTTTAGCCTCCATGTGTTTGCTTTTTTTTCACAGTTTTTTTCCTGTAATTGATATCTAGTCATAGCATTGTGGTCGGAAAAGATACTTGATACAATTTCTATTTTCTTAAATTTACCAAGGCTTGATTTGTGACCCAAGATATGATGTATCCTGGAGAAGTTCCATGAGCACTTCAAAACAAAGTCTATTCTGTTGTTTTGGGATGGAATGTCCTATATCAGTTAAGTCCATCTTGTTTAATGTGTCATTTAAAACTTATGTTTCCTTATTTATTTTCATTTTGGATGATCTGTCCATTGGTGAAAGTGGAGTGTTAAAGTCCCCTACTATTATTGCGTTACTGTCGATTTCCCCTTTTATGGCTGTTTACCTTATGTATTGAGGTGCTCCTGTGTTGGGTGCATAAATATTTGCAATTGTTATATCTTCTTCTTGGATCGATCCCTTAATCATTATGTACTGTCCTTCTTTGTCATTTGTAATAGTCTTTGTTTTAAAGTCTATTTTGTCTGATATGAGAATTGCTACTGCAGCCTTCTTTTGATTTCTATTTGCATGGAATATCTTTTTCCATCCCCTCACTTTCAGTCTGTATGTGCCCTAGGTCTGAAGTGGGTCTCTTGCAGACGGCATATATATATGGGTCTTGTTTCTGTATCCATTCAGCCAGTCTGTGTCTTTTGGTTGAAGCATTTAATCCATTTACATTTAAGGTAACTATCGATATGTATGTTCCTATTACCATTTTCTTAATTGTTTTGGGTTTGTTATTGTAGGTCTTTTCCTTCTCTTGTGTTTCCTGCCTAGAGAAGTTCCTTTAGCATTTGTTGTAAAGCTGGTTTGGCGGTGCTGAATTCTCAACATTTGCTTGTCTTTACAGCTTTTAATTTCTCCATCAAATCTGTATGAGATCCTTGCTGTGTAATCTTGCTTGTAGGTTTTTGTCTTTCATCACTTTAAATATGTCCTGCCAGTCCCTTCTGGTTTGCAGAGTTTCTGCTGAAAAATCAGCTGTTAGCCTTATGGGGATTCCCTTGTATGTTATTTGTTGCTTTTCTCTTGATGCTTTTAATATTTTTTCTTGGTATTTAATTTTTGATAGTTTCATTAATACGTGTCTTGGTGTGTTTCTCTTTGGATTTTTCCTGTATGGTACTCTCTGTGCTTTCTGGACTTGATTGACTATTTCCTTTCCCATGTTATGGAAGTTTTCAACTATAATCTCTTCACATATTTTCTCAGACGCTTTCTTTTTCTCTTCTTCTTCTGGGACCCCTATAATTTGAATGTTGGTGCATGTAATGTTGTCCCAGAGGTCTCTGAGACTGTCCTCAATTCTTTTCATTCTTTTTTCTTTATTCTGCTCTGTGATAGTTATTTCCACTATTTTATCTTCCAGGTCACTTATCCGTTCTTCTGCCTCAGTTATTCTGTTGTTGATTCCTTATAGAGAATTTTTAGTTTCATTTATTGTGTTGTTCATCATTGTTTGCTCTTTCGTTCTTCTGTATCCTTGTTAAACGTTTCTTGTATTTTCTCCATTGTATTTCCAAGAGTTTGGATCATCTTTACTATCTTTACTCTGAATCGTTTTTCAGGTAGACTGCCTGTTTCCTCTTCATTTGTTTGGTCTGGTGGGGTTTTTACCTTGCTCCTTCATCTGCTGTCTACTTCTCTGTCTTCTTTTGCTTAACTTACTGTGTTTGGGGTCTCCTTTTCTCAGGCTGCGGGTTCATAGTTCCTGTTGTGTTTGGTGTCTGCCCCCAGTGGCTAAGGTTGGTTCAGTAGGTTGTGTAGGCTTCCTGGTGGAGGAGACTTGTGCCTGTGTTCTGGTGGATGAGGCTGATTCTTACCTTTCTGGTGGGCAGGACCGCATCGGTTGTGTGTTTTGGAGGATCTGTGAACTTATGATTTTAGGCGGCCTCTCTGCTAATGGGTGGGGTTATGTTCCTGTCTTGCTAGTTCTTTGGCATGGGGTGTCTAGCACTGGAGCTTGCAGGCCGTTGGGTAGAGCTGGGTCTTAGCGTTGAGTTGGAGATCTCTGCGAGAGCTCTCACCGATTGATATTACGTGGGGCTGGGAGGTCTCTGGTGGTCCAGTGTCCTAAACTTGGCTCTCCCACCTCAGAGGCTCAGGCCTGACACCCGGCCTGAGCACCGAGACCCTGTCAGCCACATGGATGCTGTTCATTAAAAGTTCATTAAGTCAGTCAGACAAAGACAGATATCATATGATGTCACTTATATGTGGAATCTCAATGACCTGGATGCCGGAGGCCCATGGTTCTGGAGTCGTCCTCAGGAGTCTCGCACACGCCACGTATCAAGCAAACCTCAGTCCTCTTGTACGCCTGACCCCCACAAAACTCCGAGTGACAGTGAGGTGGGGCGTCTCCCAGTAGCATGGTCAGGTGGCGGGAAACTGGGTCCGGCACCGAAGTCATGCTGGTGTGGAACCGCCTCGGCCGGAGCCGGACAGCCTGGGCAGCAAACTGCACTGCGCATGCACAGGCCGCAAATCTCTCTCCTTCCAGAACCAGCGCCCCCTCAGGACTTTTAGTGAGCATGCCCACAGTCTAGGTTTCCAGGAATATGCTGGAGCTTTTCAAACCCCCTGTGTACAGCTCATTCACCAACTTCTCCTTTTAAGTTATTTTAGTTAGCCTATTGTTTGCCCAACTGTTATCCACTGCCTTAGGCAGCCTTGATGTTAAACATTTGCCTCTGCTTATTTTTGACAAATAACCCCCAGGGAAAGGCTGTTTACAATGTGTCAGCTCCAAGTCAGGTCAAATAAAGACAGTCTTGTGAGGGTGGTCTTCCAGGGAGCTACTAGACAGGTCAAATAATGTCAGTTCTCTGGGAATGGGGCTTTGAAAGAGTTCCAGTCCTTTTCTACTCCTTTCAGTGTCTATAAGGGTGCTGGTTTACAGGCTGTGATTACAGGCTGCTGATTTTCAAGGTTACCGCAGACTGGAGGAGGGGGAAATGCGAATAGGGCAAGTTAAAACACCGTGAAGTACTGCTGTTCCTACCAAGGTTCAGTTACTTTTCTTGAATAAATGTTCCTCAGATTGCTGCAAGCCTTTGGTTAATTTCCAGAGTTCTGAAAAGTTATTCTGAAGATGTTTTCCACTGTTATTGTTTCTTTTACAGAGCAGAGAATTTTGAGAGGTCCTTATTCCACCATTTCTCTGACATCCCTTTTCATTTGTTTTTGCTTCAAAGTTGTTTGTTTTATCTTTAGAAATAGAAGAGACGGTATGTTTGAAGGGAAGTAAGACCTAGATTCTGTTTCAGCTATGTGAATGACATTTTCTCTGAAAATTTTGGCCTCAGTTTTTCCATCTGCAGAGGAGGGGTGCAGATGCATCTCCCCATCAACCTATAGTGCTCTGTGGACTAAATGCTATTATGTATGTGGAGGTGCTTTGGTCCCTTTGGAAGAAAAACACTTAACTTCTTCAAGGCTTTATGATTGCTACTTCCAGTTCTGCTTCCCATTGTGTGTCCTTGATCAAGCCGCTGAACCAGTTGCTTCTGTTTCTCTTTCCCATCCCACCCTCGTCTCCTCCTCTCTCTCTTTTTAAAGAAGAGACAGTGCTCATACTCCCCATAGACATGCCAGTGAATTTAAATTGCTTTAAATGTCTTTAAAATTACTTGAAGTTGTTCAGAAAAAAACTGCTGTTATTTTCAGTTTGACAGGAAATTAGATTATTTTGCACATATGCATTATATTTTAATGCAGTCTTGAATATGTGATTATTGGAAGTTTTTTAATATTACCCACACTACTAGAAATAGAGTTTTGAAACCCCCAATAGTCCTTTATATGCCCCCGGTTTTTTTGTTCAAGTACCTCTCTAGCTTCATCAAATGCACTTCTCTGTGGAAAGTGGTTAGAACTCAAAGTTTATTTTTTTAATTGTGGTGAAATATACGTAACAGAAAATTTACCATTTTAACCATGTTTGAGTGTACAGTTCAGTGGCATTAAATACATTCACGTAGCTGTACAATGCAATGTATGTATCTCTTTTTGAAAAATATAGATTCCATAGTTCCCTGACCGTATTTGCTTTGTGAACCAATATTGTTATTACAATTAAATAGTGTGGACTGTACTGTTTTTTGGTCATTCATTTTGTAGGAAGCCATGAGTTTTATAGAACATGGTAGGTGTTGCTTTCATTGGTCCTGCTTCCTGACCTAATTTCATTTCTGAAAACAACCTAAATAACCTCATTGTTCATACACAACCCTGTTTAACTTTCATGTCTTTTGGTGGTGCAGGTTGTAATGCCGGCAGAAATTAACTCAGGGACCGCCGCGTCAAGAGGATTGTATCAACCAGCAACAATCTTTATGGGCCGCCAAGTGTCAGCCGTCTCAGGCGTTGGAGATTTCAGTACAGAGCAGAAATCTCCCCAACCCACAAAGAACTTTTCAATTCCTGACCCACATTCACACCAACAGACAGCCCGGAGCAGTAATGTGACAGACAGCTATGTAGTACAAATTCATAGTGACACACAGTGCTTAAATAAGTCTGACAGAATAGATGGAAAGACATCTCTTCAGATGGGTGAGAAAACGCCAGTCACAGCCAGCGCGTTGTCTGAGGAGGAACAAACTCATCGCTTGGAGATAGGAAGCAACGCACGTCAGGGCAAGAGTAATTTATCTGAAGGCAGAAAGTCTGCCGAACTCCATTCCCCATTACAGGAGAGATTAAGTCCAGAGAACAGAACCACTGATTTAAAGTGTGACAGTTCCAGCAGATCAGAGGGATCAGAGGGAGAAATACTGACACGGGAGCATATTGAAGTCGAGGAAGAAAGAGCCAGACCGCCAGTCTCTCTGCCGTCAGGCTCAGAATACAGTGCATCTGAAATCGAGTGTTCTCAAGAGAAGCATCCTGCCTGGGAAGCTTCCTCAGGTGGGGTGAGAGGCTGAAATGGTTTGCTGATTTTTGTTGGTATTTAGTTTTTGGGTGGTGATGGTCTTATGTAAGAATACAAAATACTGTCTAATTGTATCTGTCAAAAAACAAAGTAGTGACTTTGCTAACAAATTCCATTCTAATGAGTTAACTATGTACATGGAAATATTTTTGCGAGCAAATTCTCTGATTTTTAAACCCACTGTGATATTTTAAAAATATTTTTCATGGGTCTTAAAATACTGTAGTTCGCTGTGGATTGTTTATACACGTCTCTAACAGATGAGCAGCTCTGCTCTGGGAGGTAGGATGTCTCACCCCTGCTACCGCCTGAAGTCAGTGATCAGTAATCTGTTCATGTCCCCGTTACAGATCATCCTCCTCGCCGGGACCCAGAGGCACAGGAGCCCTGCAGAAAAATGTGGGAAGAGCAGGAGGAGGAGAGTGAGAGCAGCAGCAGTGACCTCACAGTTTCTGTAAGTGAAGAGGATCTGATTTTAAGGAGTCCAGAACCACAGCCAAATCCGGGTGACACGGTGGAGGAAGAAGATGGAATAGAGGCCTTAAATTTAATTCACTCCAAGCAAGAAAGAGATGCCCCATCCACTGAAAAACATAATTATATTTTGCAAACCCTGAGCTCTCCAGATTCAAAAAAGGAATCCTCCACTAACTCGCCAACAAGAGAGTAAGCCATTCAATTTTTTTCATTGTTCTGTTTTTAGTTATAGACATTTTTAGAGACCATTCCACTGGGAGTATATTATTGAACACTCAGCCATGAATGTATAAGTTCCTTAAGTCTCATAAATAGTCTTTTAGATAAGGACTAATTTCTTTTCTTCTTTTCTTTTTTTTTTATGAAATAGCTTTAAAAGCCTGAATATCATTGAAATCATGGTGATTGGCAGTTTATAATTATATCTAAAGAATCCCTGGTTAATTCATAAGTCATTCCCCCCACCCCCTACCCACCATCCTTTTGGAAAATCAGTCATTTTGGAGTTGTAATAACACAGGTGACAAACACTTAAACTTCCTAGGAATTCAGCTTTTGAGACTAAGAACTTTGTATCTAATTAATTTGCTTAATCCTTCTATCCCTTGCCAGAGTGTCATTTTCGTCATACAATTAAATATGCATTAATAAGTTTTTGTAATTATATATCTAAGGCAGCTTTCATTTTCTGAATGTAAAAGTGAGGACGTTGGAGTCTTTAAGGGTAAATAGGAACATCGGTGTTATATATTTTGAACACTTATAATATCCAAGTCATAAAAGCTCATATATGATTTTTTTACTGTTGATCGGAGATAGTGGAATTGTAGAAAACATGGAAACCGTTGAGAACCAATTCTGCAATAAAAGTAGCACAAATAGCATCAAATCTCTTAGGGATACAAGGAACTTAAGTACACAATCCGAGGTAGAGCTCGCTGTTTAAAATGAGGATACCAAGGCCAGGGGCATAGGAGTGGCACATAGGCCATGGGGGCAGACCCTCCACACAGCCTCGCCGACCCCACCCCACCCCCAGAATGTTGTTACACTATGATACCATCTGTCTCTCTCTTTCCAACAGTCCCAGCAACAGTGAAAAGCCAGGTGGGTGTTCTTGTATGCATAGGTTCATGTTCTCTTTAAAGCACCATTGAACCTTTTAATATATTGCCTCTTACCACTCATTACCTACTTACGGTGAAAAGTTTAATTTATAGTCTGATTGCCCCCAAACTAATGTTCAAGACATACTTATTAAGAGCATCCACGTACAAAGTATTTGCGCTGTGGATGGAAGAACCAACGTGGTTCTTGTGCTTGGGAGACTGGCTTTATTGCAGAGGCAAGCCAGATGGGTTTTTCCAGTAATAATACTTCTCCCTCATCGAGGAAATACGGGTATTACATACTATTAATACATCATTAGAAACTTTATTACTAAAAAGAGAATGTTTCTATTTTAGGTTTGTATTTGCAGGCTTCTTTTTATAGTTCATTGGACAAGTTCATTGGACAAGTTAGTATTTTGGTAGGCTAACTGGAGGACTAGTGTACTTACCCAGGACTCAGTCCTTTTCTGAGATGAAAAAAGTTGAGTGTGTATAGAATTAAGAACCTTCTATGTCCTATTCTCCTATGAGAATGACTGTTTCCTGTGACCCTAAAACCAAGCTCCTTGAAATGTTGGGATATAGTTTTCCAAAAGTTGTTGGAAAATAGGGGCATTTGGGGAATTTTTGAAAGTTTGTTTTAATAGAATGCCCCCGGAATGAAAGGTCAGTCAGCAGTGGTGGTTTTCTGTGTCCGTGTTACCAAATTTGAGTCTGTTGACTTCCTGTGGTGAAAGTCCTCCCCAGGCATAGATCGATGCTGGTTTTAAATGGTGCTGGCTAGCTTGCCGACTCCCCACTGCTCTTGAGGGGCCTGCATTCTCTTCTTTCCTCTCTAGCATTTGCTCTTCTTCTTTGCTCAGAGGGTTGATTATTAACCTGAGCCTGTGACTTCATACTTACAGAGTACCGCTCTGACCTCAGAGGTTCTCAGTTTACTTTAGGATCTGTTGAGGGCCTGGAGAGAAATTACTAGAAGGGATTTTAGTTAACAGAGGTGAAGAGGTGGAACAAAGGAAGACACACAGAAGGATTTGAACAGGAAACTGGAACCTCTGATTTGATGAGAGTGATGATGATGACTTCAGACACACCTGGGAGATACTGCAGTCTGGTTCCAGGACACAATAAAACGAGTCTCATGAGAAGGCAAGTCACACGAATATTTTGGTTCCCCAGTGCGTCCATGTTGTGGCATGTTTCAGAACTTCATTTATTTTTATGGCTGAATCATAGTCCAATGTATGGATAAACCACATTTTATTTATCCACTCATCTGTTGATGGACACTGGGGTTGCTTCCACCTTTAAAAGCCAAGTGACTTTGAGAAGCTTCATGGCCTGCTCCCATGGCTACCTCCAGATGCTGAGCATGTGATTCATGTACGTGAGCTGACCCTCCATTGCAAGCTGCAATTAACTCTTCTCAGAAGAACACTTACTACAATGAAGCTGCCCAAAAGAAATGTTGAAAAGGAGGCCCTTGAATCTTTTATTTTCTTAAGGAGTGAGTAGTTTGCTACAAATGTCGGTACAAAGCCCCATGACTTAAAACACCAGACATTTATTATTTGTCATGTGACAGGTGGTTGGCCCGGTGTCAGTTGGGGCCACAGGGATAACTTGGCCACTTGTCCCTCATCTGGGAGATTAGTCCAGCCTCAGTCACCTGGTAGAGGTAGCAGAGTTCCCAAGACAGCAAGAGGGCAAGGCCAGTGCACAGATGCTTCTTAAGTGTCTGCTTGCATCATGTTTGCTAATGTCCCATTGGCTAAAAACATTCACAGGGCCCAGCACAGTGTCAGAAGGTAGATAAAGACAGCCCATCTCTTGATGAGGAGTGGCAGAGTTGCGTTGCAAAGGATGTGTATCCAGGGATGAGAAGTTTATCGTCATTTTTTGTAACCCACCACTGTACTTTAGGACAAATTCAAATAAAGATAAGCTTGATGTGAGTCCAAAGGGTCAGGAAAGGTTTTATACAGGTGTTGATGCAGCATCTTAAAGGATGTGTAGGTTTGAATAAGGAGGAGGGAAAGGGGTGGATTAGGTCTGAAGGAAGAGTGCAACTAGGAACGCAGGTACAGAGAACACAAGGGGGAAGGGGGCAGGCAGAGGGTGTGGCTGAAGGCTTATCCATGAGGGGTTGTCAGAGTGGAGGTTTGAAATGTCTCCTGGCACATGGTTGAGAAAGGCCTTGAGTATCCAGTTAATGTATTTAGAGTTATCTCTATGTTTTGCAGAATTGTTGAAGGCTATTTTGAGAGAAGGGGGTAGTATGGTGAATCACTTGATTTAAGAGAATTAATCTGATGTTAGTTTCATCAGGATGACTTACCCATGAGGTAGCCAGAATTCTGAGATGGCCCCCGAAATTCCTGCCCCTGGTGTACACCTGTATGATCCCCTCGCCTTGAGTGTGGGCAGGACAGTGAGGGTGGTGGAGCTGCCTGCCGTGATTAGGATGTCATATGACAGAGATGAAGAATTTTGCAGATAATCAAAAGGACTTATCCAGATTGGACCTGATGTAAGTGGATCAGGCTTTAAAAAGAACGGGCTCAGAGATTCAAAGCAGCTGAGATATTACCTGCCATCTTGTGGAGGCCACATGGCAAGAAGTGGTGTGCAGCATCTGGGAGCTGAGGACCTCAGTCCTTCCGTCATAAGGAACTGAACTCTGCCAGATACCAGTGAACCCGGAAGAGGACCCTGAGTCTTAGATGAGATTGCATCCCAGCCGACACCTTGATTTCAGCCTCGTGACACTGAGTGGAGACCCCACTAACCCATACCCAGACCCCAGACCCCTGGGAACTGTGAGATAAATTTGTGTTACATGCTAAATTTGTGGTAATTTGTTATGTAGCAAAAGGAAAGTAATACAGTTGAACTGGAATCAAGGATTATAACTTTGCAAGGATTGTATGGGTAGAAGTCGCTACACATAACAGGCTGAATCAGATGTGTTCAGGGTCCAGTGTGGGAGCACATGATGACAGGGGATCGGAGTGAGCAGCCCAGCAGCCAGAATAACCTGTGCTTTCCCTTCCCTGTACCCTCACCATCTGAGCAGGTGCCTTTTCACACAGGGCCCCATGCAGGTGAGCAGGGATGGAAGGGGGTAGACAGGTAGGGACCTAGAAAAGTGGGTGTGCACATCTGTATTAACCAACAAGCTGTTTCTCACGCAAACATTATTTCTCTGGTTCTTTCTCTAGTGAATGTAGCAATGTATTGAGAGTTTTTTGTTTTGCTCTGTTTTGTTTACAAATGCGTAATGTCATAGATCCACCTTTGCAATGTCATCCAAAGTAGTTTTACTGTCTAAAAATTCCCTTTGCTCCATCTACTCATCTCTCTTTCCTCCCCATCACCCAAACCTCTGGTAACCACTGATTTTTTTATTGTCTCTGTAGTTTACCTTTTCCAAATGTCATGTACTTGGAGTTAGACAGCATGTGGCCTTTTCAGATCGACTTCTTTCACTAAGCAGTATGCATTTTAGATTCCGTCCTGTCTTTTCATGGCCTGATAGCTCATTTCTTTTCAGTGCTGAATAATATTCCATTATCTGGATATACCACAGTTTATCCATTCACCTACTGAAGAACATCTCTGTGGCTGCCACGTTTGGGCAATTATGAATAAAGCTGCTGTGGACATCCATGTGGAGGTTTTTGTGTAGACATAGGGTTTCAACTCATTTGGGTAAATATACCGAGGAGCGCAATTGCTGGAGTGTATGGTAGACTATGTTTAGCTTTGTAAGAAACCCCCAAATTGTCTTCCACAGAAGCTGTACCATTTTTATTCTCATGAACAATGAATGAGAGTTCTTGTTGCTGTACATCCTTGTCAGCATTTGGTGTTGTCGGTTTTCTCGATTTTAGCCATCCTAATAGGTATGTGATGATATCTCGTTGTTTTCATTTGCAATTCCCTGATGACATATGATGTTGAGCATCTTTTCATGTACTTATTTACCATTCATATATCTTCTTTGGTGAGATGTCTGTTCGCATCTTTTGCCTATTTTTTAATTGGGTTCTTATTTTTATTATTGAGGGTTTTTTT